GGTTGAAGCTGGTCGGCTATGGTGGACGGGCATGGGTGATGGAGGAGGAAGAAGGGTTGGAGGTGGTTGGCTATGGTGGACGGGTGTGAGTGATGAGGAAGAAGAAGGGTTGGAGCTGGTCGGCTATGGTGGACGGGTGTAGGTGATGGAGGAAGAAGAAAGGTTGGAAATGGTTAGCTATGGTGGACGGGTGTGAGTGATGGAGGAGGGAGAAGGGTTGGGTTGGTCCGGCTATGGTGGACGGGTGTGGGTGATGGAGGAAGAAGAAGGGTTGGGGAGGTCCGACTATGGAGAATGGACGTGGGTGATGGAGGAGGAAGGAGGGTTGAAGGTGGTCGGCTATGGTGGACAGGTGTGGGTGACGGAGGAAGAAGAAGATTTGGAGGTGGTTGGCTATGGTGGACGCGTGTAGGTGATGGAGGAAGAAGAAGAGTTGGAGGTGGTCGGCTATGGTGGACGGGCGTGGGTGACGGAGGAGGAGGAACAGTTGGGGTGGTCCGGCTATGGTGGACGGGTGTGGGTGATGGAGGAAGGACAAGGGTTGGGGAGGTCCGACTATGGAGGATGGACGTGGGTGATGAACGAGGAAGGAGGGTTGAAGGTGGTCGGCTATGGTGGACGGGTGTGGGTGATGGAGGAAGGAGAAGGGTTGGAGGTGGTTGGCTATGGTGGATGAGTGTAGGTGATGGAGGAAGAAGAAGAGTTGGAGGTGGTTAGCTATGGTGGACGGGTGTGAGTGATGGAGGAGGGAGAAGGATTGGGTTGGTGCGGCTATGGTGGACGGGTGTGGGTGATGCAGGAAGGAGAAGGGTTGGGGAGGTCCGACTATGGAGGATGGACGTGGGTGATGGAGGAGGAAGGAGGGTTGAAGGTGGTCGGCTGTGGTGGACTGGTGTGGGTGATGGAGGAAGAAGAAGGGTTGGAGGTGGTTGGCTATGGAGGACGGGTGTAGGTGATGGAGGAAGAAGAAGGGTTGAAGGTGGTCGGCTATGGTGGACGGGTGTAGGTGATGGAGGAAGAAGAAGGGTTGGAGGTGGTGAGCTATGGTGGACGGGTGTGGGTGATGGAGGAACAAGGAGGGTTGGGGATGGTTGGCTATGGTGGACGGGTGTGAGTGATGGAGGAGGGAGAATGGTCGGGGTGGTCCGGCTATGGGGAATGGACGTGAAAGAAGGTCCGTTGGACGTATCTTAACTCCTAGCCCCGTACCTCCGTTTTCTACTTCGGGTGTCCGGCTGCCCCATAACACTTTTGGAAGTCACCGGTCACAGGAAAAATGGGGAAGAGACCGAACTGTAGCCCACACACACACATACATACGCACAAACTCCGAATGTCATCGGGTACAACCAGGGGTAAAGGTGGACTGCACAAGTTGCCGGGAACTGCAGCATTCACACATACCCACACCGAATGTTACTGGGTTCAGCAAGGGGGTAAAGATGGACGGCACAAGTTACCGGGGACAGCAGCAGTCACACATGCACACACCGCATGTTAGTGGGTACAGTAGGGGGTAAAGATGGACTGCACAAGTTACCGGGGACTGCAGCACTCACACATACAGACACCGAATGTTACTGGGTACAACAGAGGGTGAAGATGGACTGCACAAGTTCTCGGGGACTGCAGCGCTCACACATACACACACCGCATGTTACTGGGTACAGTAGGGGGTAAGGATGGACTGCACAAGTTACCGGGGACCGCAGCACTCCCACATACACACACTACATGTTACGGGGTACAACAGGGGGTAAGGATGGA